TGCCAACGATCCGGCTCTCAGTTCTTCGAACCTCTATATACTCTTAATTTTAACCTATTAACTTGTACTGACTGAATTAACTGCCTCCAAATACTCAAGGCTTGAAATAGCACTACAAATATTAATACTAAAGTGAGCAGCAATCCGAAAACATTTATCGGCCCTATGTTCGATGACAATACCATTTACGAGAAACACCCTTCTCGAGCCTCAGATTGGTTCTCTTTTTGATTTTTGACTGGACCTTTCCACGCCATCGGCAAATGTTCCCGATGCAGAGCGCATGGGAAGGCATGCGTGGCGGTACCGCCAGCTCTCCGCGACGAGGTCGCCGCGATGCGCCAGCTTGCTTCTAGCGGTCGTCCAACCTCAGAGATCCTTCCTCAGACCGACCTGACAACGCGCTAGACTCCAGTTCAAGCTTTCCGATACTGAGAAAAATGAAGCATGAGTCTTGATACAGTCGGATTTTGAGTTTCCGCCGAATAGTACTATCTCCCTTGGCTTCTGCGTTCTATAACGGTCTCTCAAGGCATTAACGGGCTTCCATTCTCCTTCCTTTGGGCCTTGTACTTTTGAGAAGCTATTTCAAAGATATATATATTCCGGGGCTCGATATTGCCGTTTACGAAACCCTCGACTTCGGTGCCCTCATTTTCCGTCGGTTCTTTGTCGCCGCTTCGACGCAAGACGCTGGGGCCATTGCCTTTGTCCCGTCCGGTCGAGTGGCGGGGGAATTCGCCGGAAGGAATTCTCGTCGACTCGAAGCCAATATTGCGCGGCTCCCAAACGAATGCAGTAGTCGTCTATACTCGTGGCTCCGTCGAGGCCGAACCCTGCTCGTTTTGCGCTAGGGGAAACGGCCCGTTCTTATAGTGCGTCACCGCCATCAGTCCTTCGGGACTCGAGATCGGGAAGGGGGCATGCGCCTCATGCATTTGGCCGAACTCGCCACGTTAGTTCCCTTCCAGCCGCCCGTCTTCGCTCCGTCGAAGTCCACCATGCCGGTCGTTGTCCCTCCCGTCGGTGAGAATGTCGTCGACAAAACTCCCGATCCGTCTGATACATCAACTCAGATGCTCCTCCACGCAGATGCTGAAACCACCAGCGGCACTATGGAGAATTTCAACATGATCACAAGCAAAAAGAGATTGTATCTTGGGTGATTCTCATGTCACCGCTACCTTGAGAGTATCTCACAGGCCGGTGAGTAGCCTTCCCATCTAGAAGACTTAACTCAATGAGCCCCCATCCGGCTCGTTGGATCCATTTACATGGCTAATCCATCTGCCTGTCTAGTGAATGCATGGCAAGGATTCAATACCAATATCATCTTCAATAAGAGGGCCAGGTAATGCCTATGCATTGACCGATCATCCCCATATGTGATAATAAATTGAAACCAGGAAGCAGGAGAGGAGAGTGGTTACTCCTAATAACATGAGCATTCTTACACTACCACACAACATTACTAATAAGGATCCTGAAGAAAGAGAGCTTCGGATTCAGTCGATACACGAATATCTACAGAGATGAGAGTGGACTAGTTTCTAATTAACCTACAACTTTATCAACACAACATGGAATCTGCTCTCAAAGGCCAGATTTCTTTCCGCATCAACAGCATATCACTGTCACAGACTCTTCAGCAGACATTCCCGGTGACACAGTTTTGTGAAAAGTGTTGATAAGAGTCCTCTCCGCAGGACTCAATCAGCATCATTCTGTTCCATGAATGGAGCGGATGTCCAAGCCAAAAAAGGTGCCTTCTGTGAAGCCAGATGATTATTGCACAAGGGAGGAATGGGCTTGGGGCCCGCAAAGGTTCTTTCACAGAACTCCAGGCCACTAGCAGACCTTTTACTGAGATGGTATACTGGCGGCAACAGGCCGTGGTGAACCCGGTAAGTGCTTCCTGCAAAGCTGCAATCATAGTTCTAATATAAACTTGTCTTATGCAGGTGCTAAGACCAAAGATTGGCATTGATAAATGATGGGATTTGGGCTCCGATTCTCATACAGATGCTGCCCAGGGTCTTCAAACCACACTTTTATCAACTCATAAA